CCGAAATATTCCGAGGTCGATTGACCCATTCCCGTAAAATACCGAAATATAAAAAAAAAACAATCCCGTGCGAGATTATTAGAAAAACGGCAGATTGCCCATCACTAGTTGGGCCTAAGTAAAATATGTATACGTACATCGGGGAGGTATACGACCATGAAAATCCTTTTAAAATTTAAACCTTTAAGCCAATATTTCTTGACTAATTTCGGTGAATTTTTTATTTATTTATTTTAATTCTATAAGTTAATTGAATTAAATTAAAATTATTTTTATCGAATAATCCAACTAGATAGTCGTTGAGAAAACTTTGCTTAAAGTTTGAACAAAAGGTTAAAAATCTTTGAAAAATCAAAAGACCATATTTTTTTCAAATTAAAACGATGATTTCTCTATGATTATCTAACCAAATTTGATCTACGTGTTTTGTGGAATCAAAATAAAAAATTATCAAACCTGGTTATGTAATTGCTGAGAAATATTTATTTATTGTTAAAAAATTTGCTGCGGCTTCTTTTTCAACGCCTTCTAGATGAATATCAAACCAAATTCGATGAAAATTTTTTTATTTTAATTATATAATTTATAAAATTAATATAAAAAATTTCATAGAATTTAGTTAGATATTCATCGAAAAACCTTCGCTAAAATTTTAGTATCCATAAAAAAAAGCAGTGGCAAAGTTTCTTTAAAACATTAAATAAACATTTCTCAGTAACTACATTGTCAAATTTGACAATTTTTTTTTATTTCGATTCTACAAACACATAGAATTATAATAAATAAAAAAAAAAACATTAAAATTGATCATGTCTTCATCGAGAAAATTCGGTTTATCACTTATAAAAAATTTTAAGTCCAAAAAAAAAAACGAATGAATTTCATTTTAACTTTAAACTAAGATTTCTCGGTGAAAAAATGATCAAATTTGATGAAATTTTTTTATTTTAATTCTGCGAGTTTGTAGAATCGAAATAAAAAAAAATTATCGAATTTTGTTATGTAGTCACTGAGAAATATATATTTAAATTTTTAAAAAAATTTGTCGCTGCTTCTTTTTTTATAGGTACTACTTTAAGCAAAGTTTTCTCGATGAATATCCTATGATTTTTTATTTATTTATTTTAATTTTTGTAATCCTATAATAAAAATAAAAAAAGATTTCATGGAATTTGGTCAAATATTCATCGAGAAAACTTCGCTTAAAGTTTTAGTGCCTATGCGCACCCACGAAAATACGTATTATACATTGTGTTGACGGCTAAATGGGCGGTAACACAGCAAACCAATCACCACCAAAACCACACAACCAACCACACGATATTGCCGAGGGAGGGTTAGAGGCGATTTGATTTGGCAAGGTAAGGCTAAATCGGGTATGTTGTAGTGACAAAAAAACGACTTTATTTTATCAAGAACGCACACTACTCTTTATTGGAGGGCGAAACAAGCCTATCCTGTATTTATATTAATTTACATGCGGGGAAACAGAGAGAATTCTTTTTCTAAGCTAAGCCACTGTCCCAAACCTAAATCGGTTCAACAACCGTTTCCTGGGGCTTCAGTTCGGGTCTTTGTCACAATTTTTGGGCCTCTTGCGCAGCGGATTTTAGCTGTTTTGCCAGTAACAATAAATTTTACTGGTAAAAATCGAAGATCCCTTCTAAAATTTTGAAAATCTTTTAATTAAATCTAATGAATTTTTTATTTTATTTTAATACTATAACATTGCAGAATTGAAATAAAAATTGATAAATTCTATTTGGTAGCTATCGAGAAATATTCGTCTAAAGTTTTAAAAAAGTTAGAGCATCGGAAAATTTTTTTGGGTAAAATTTTCTTTCTTTGAACTTTACTCGAAGATTTCTCAACGACTACCTAATCTAATTTGATGAGGATTTTTTTATTTTAATTCTACGAATTGTAGAATTAAATAAAAAACATAATTTTTGACTAGGTAATTGTAGGGAAATTTTCACTTAAAGATAAACAAAAAAATTTAGCCACAGCTTTTTTTATAGATGTTAAGTTTGAATGAATATTTCTCCGCAACTAACTATTCAAATTTGATGAAAATTTTTTATTTTAATTTTATTAATTTGTTGAAGCAAAATAAAAAATTTTCATCAAAAAATATTTATTCAAAGTCAAACGTTTATAAAAAAAAAAAGTTGCGGCTAAATTTTTTAATTAGATTTATATAAATCAATTTTTAATGAGCTTTAACGTGTTTGCGGGTTTTTATTTTTGAATATAAAGATTTTTTTTTTTTTTTTTATAGATCTAAAATATGTGTTTTTATCAAGAATTTTAAAAGATCGTTATTTTTTTTAAAAAAAGATCATACTTCCGCGATAATGTATTTATTAATGCCTCTTTAAATATAATAATACTGTAATATTGGCAGTCTATAATAATATAAACAGTCTTTAACAGCATAAGCAATATCAGCAACAATATCGGTATTACAAAAAAAAATTAGTCTGGGACTGTCTTTGTCTCAACGATTTTGATCATGATGGTGTACAACACTGTGTTATAAAATAATTTTTCTTTTTCTTCTTTGTGTGATCTGCCCCGCATATAGTTAGGACAGTTAGCCCCCGAACAATGATGGTTCCTTTTTGGGTATGAGATCGAGATGGGCTTGAATAATGGTTCAGAACCATAGATACTTGTCTGAGACCACCGATGGTGAACCAAAACTTAGAATTTTGGTTTCAGACCATTTAAAGCTTAAGAATGTACAAATACAACGATTGTGTTAATAAATAACATTACTCATTCTTTCTTGTTCCGACTAAACAACTAAATAAATAAATAATAAATAAATAAATAAATAAATAAACAAATAAATAAATAAATAAAGTAAATAAATAAATAAACAAATAAATAAATAAATAAAGTAAGTAAATAAATAAATACATTCCTTAATAACCCACTATCATTAATTCAAAATTCCCTTAACATCCATTCCGCATAACCTATGCTTGTAACCCTGAGCTAATTTGATCTCACGTTCTCCCACGGTTACAACAGTGGCCATCGATTTTACGGGTTATGTAGTGGCGACGCCAATGTTCAATGCTCAATATGCACGCAATGCAGGGTCAAAGTTTTTCTAGCGATATCGCTATAGATCTAATACTGCAGATGGCGCTACACACATGACCCGAAAAATCGATGGCCGCTCTGGTCGTGTCTAGAGATGCGGTAGAAACTTAAAGCATCGGGACTGCCGTGACGTAACTGAGTATAACTTATTTCTACTTTTTATTTAGGATTAAATGAATCTTCGTTACGCTACTGTTTAATGAATTCTAATTGGCTAGCATTAACTGTTGATCCATTTAAACTATCCCTTAGGTGAAATTAAGCTTTTATTTAGTAATACGAAAGTTACGTAACTAATTAAAGTTACACATCTAATTAAAGTTACGCATCTAATCAAAGTTACGCATCTAATTAAAGTTACGCATCTAATTAGGCGGGTTTAAGTTACAATTTCGTTTAACATTCTCCCCACGAGCCAAGAACTCCCTGAAATTAAATAAGCCAATCAGAACGTCCATTACAACTTTGATATTTCAATAAATCATGTGACTATTGTCACGTATCTTTAAAGTTATGGGGCCTTTGGCTCGATTCCACTGAGTCATAGCACTCGCTTTGCGCTGGTGTATCGTACCAGGCACTACCACCTCAACAACTTATGCAGGTTTATTTTAAGAGCGTTTATTCACTAAGCAAATTCCTAAAACTAGCTATCGATCACTTTGGAATCGATTCTTCATTATAGATTATCATCAGGTATTTGATTACCCGGTTACACGCATTATGCAAACATACTAATAATACAGATACAGTAGACTTTTAATTAAATTCATGCATCACCGATCACGCCATTAACGTTACCCAGTCGCGATCGGGTAACCCGTGATCGCACCTAACCCTAGTAATACCGATACAAGGGGTGTTGGTCATCACCATAAACCACCAATAATTATGGAGATTTTTTTGAGATGTTATATAATGTTTGTTTAATTTGACCCCCTCCCCCCACTGCCCTTAAACTTCGAAAGGAACGTTAAACGAAATTATAGCTTCAAATGACATTAAAGTTATGCATCTAATTAAAGTTACGTAACTGATTATTATCACAACACAATGAGATTACCCGAATTTTGCCGTAACGTGACGCGTCGTTTGCCGTAAAATTCATTGGGACAATTCTACTGCATCTCTAGTTGTGTCTAGTAATTGCATCTCACCCAGATGAAATTTTACATAGTGCTTGAAATTTTAAGATTAATAATTACGTAATACCCTAAATGTAACCCCTAAGTACATTTCCTATGAAAAGCCTCCCTGAATGCATGTCTCCTCTTGGGCCCAACTAATATTACGCCCAGTGTTTAAAATTCGGATCGAAACTCACATAGGTTTTTATTGCACAAACCAACTACTAGTTGCACGCATGTGTATATAAATTTTATTTTTATATGCACTTAATAACTAAATGATACCAATGTTATAAATTTACTACACTAAATATATCTTATATTTTTTGGTTAATTTTTCGGAATTACGAATATTTTCTCAAATTTAAATACAACCCTTGCTCGTATTTTATGTTCAATTATATCCTTTCGGAGCTTTTTGGGCCATCTTTATCTTTTTTCATATTTATATTTTGACTAAATTTTGTGCAATAAAGTTTTATAATTCTCTTGCACGTTATTTTTTGCGCAAGCTCCTTAATTGTGTACTTATGCATATACGTTTGGAATTCTCTTGCACAAAAAAAAAAACTACTTGCGCATGTGTATCTTGTGCAAGGTAATTTTAAAACTGATTACGCCTATAGATTTTTACCTCCCTAAATGCAATACCTCTCTTTGGCTAAACTTTTACGTATGGTCCCGTCGCATTGCATTTAGAGATTTTTTATTTATAGTGAAAAAATTTATTGTTGAAACATTTCATTCATTCATGTAAAAATGATTCAAATTTTTCAAAAATTAAATATAGCATCTTTTGATGTCATTATTTGGTTTTTACTTTCATTTTTTCATTCTTAAGTTAGATTATTTATCTTATAATAAAGTATCCAGATCGTGCAATAGGCACAATTTCTAGGAAAGATTCCAATTATCGGAAATCTAATCCCTATCTTAAGAAGAATACATATGCTCAATACCAACAAGAATTGGCAAATAAATATGGACCACTTTTGTATTTATTTTTTTTTTAAAAAAAAAATAAGTATTGTACTATTGATAAAAGAAAAAAATACTCATCTCAATATTTTTTTTTTTTAAATGAATATAGCACATTTACAGTTTTTAATCATGGTCGAACTATTGTCTCAAATGATCCGCGGACGATAGAACATCTTGTAAAAAGTGAATATTTTTTTAAATCAAAGTTAATATGAATAATTTTTAATATTAATTAAAACTTTGTATTTTAATTTAAGCGGGTTTTGATGAGTATGGAAAAAGTGATGACCTTTACAAAATAGCTTACGATGTATATGGTGATGGAATATTTGCGGTTGATGGGTTTGTATCTTATTATTTAAAATTAAGTTATTATTTGAAATTAAGTTATTACTTGAATAAGTATAGTACACTAACTACTATAATACTTATTTAATATATAAATATATATAAAGTTACAAGTGGAAGTTTCAAAGAAGGATAATAAGTCACCTTTTTCAAGGAAAAAACTTTAGAGATCTGATTTATAAATCTGTAATTGAAAAATCCAAAGTCGTGATAAACATTTTAAAGAAGTACGCAGATAATGGAAAACCTATTGATTTACAAGACTTATTTTATAGATTTACTATGGATACTTTCGGAGAGTAAGTTTTCATTATATAATTCTAATAAATAATTATTGTTAATTAGCTTCGTTAATTAGTTTGATATAAATTTAATTTATACTATCAATATATACATATATATATAATAGTATGTCGTTTGGTGTAGATTTCGGATGCTTAATCCATCCTGAAGAAAAATCACAATTTGTTACAGATCTTGATTTTGCTCATGAGACTATATTTAAGAGACATGGAAAACCTTTATGGAAATTTATAGAGAAATATAGTGAAAAAGGTCGAAAGATGCGTAAAGCTTGTAAATATATTGATAATTATGTATATAATATGATAAATAATCACAAATCTGAACTTGAAATTGAAAAGAAATCAGTTAAAAATTTGTTAACTTTGCTTATTGAGGCTGTTGATGATAATGGTAAAAAGTTTAATGATAAAGAGTTGAGAGATGTCATAATTAATCTTATTGCTGCTGGTATGTACACATTTCTAAAAAAAAAAAAAAAAAAACAGATGAAAGAAAATGATGTGAATTATTATAGTTGTTAGACGAAACCATGTGATGATAATAACCACCTGTCGTAAAATACCACAACCTAAAAATTTATGCAATCTAATTTTATTAAGTTTTGAAATGTGGTATTTAGCATCACTTGGTTTCGTCTAATAACTATATAATGTGAATTCAATTTTCAATTTTTTTTTGTTATACAAATATTATTACTTAGGTCGTGATAGTACCGCACAGGTAAGTTGCGATATCTAGTTTGAAAACCATTATTCTCATACTAAACTTTTGAGTTAAATAGGCTCTATCTTGGATGATGTACTTTATCATGGTGAATCAATCTGTTGAAAATTTATTACTTCAAGAAATTAACAAAATTCTCTCAGTGGAAACATCCATCCCATCATATGACGATATTAAGTTATTTAAATATACCACAGCTACGTTTTATGAAACGGCTATATCCTATTCTTCCAGTAAATGGAAGGGTAATTAATTATAATAAATTTAATTATTGTTATGTTTTTGTGAAAATCTTTATTGCTTCATTAACTTATTATTATTATTATTATTTTACAAACAAAAGATGTGCGTTAGGGATAATGTTTTGCCTAATAATATTCCAGTATTCGCAGGAGACTTTGTGGAATATAGCCTATTCGTAATGGGAAGAGATGAAAAATCTGGGGAGATGACGCTAAATAATTCAACCCTAAAAGATTTTTAGATTCAGAGGATGGTTTAAAACCAAATAAATTTAAATTTGCTATTTTTCATGCTGGACCTAGAAGTTGGTTAGTACTATGCATGATTCTATTTTATATGCTGTATAATAGCTTTTTAAATTTAATTTAATAATTATGTAGTCTGGGACAGCAATTTGCAACTCTTGAAGCAATAACACTGGTAGTAATGTTGTTGAAAGAATTTAAGTTTGAATTAGTACCTGGGCAAAAATCACCGCCAGAATTTAAAGATGCCATTACACTACCAATGAAGGATCCTCTTATGACTAAAGTGTCTTATAGAACTAAACGTTAATCTACATTTATATATATATTTATTTTTTTAGTGTTATATATTCATTAGTCCTTTATTCTCTTTATTAAGATGACTAAAGTGTCTTATAGAACTAAACGTTAATATACATTTTTTTATATATATTTATTTTTTTAGTGTTATATATTCATTAGTCCTTTATTCTCTTTATGTGATTCTTATATTAATAAATAGTCTCATACAGGGCATAGAATCATCTAATTCATTTATTTTGTGTTTCAAGTAGTGTTTTGAATCTGAAATTTTAATCATGTATCAGGATAACTATTAATACAGTAGCAGCTTTAATCAGTCAATATTAAACAATGAAAACTTTTTTTGGATACTACTTAACCCATTTTAACGCGCATTATAAAATATAGAAAGTTATATTAATGACAGACCAAAGCTGAAGGTATTTCATAAAATTCATAAATTCATCATTCTTATAGAGTCATGTTATTGTATTTGTTGTACTTGTCGTGGATGTGAATTCATCAACTATTGTTCAATATTATTGCTCAACCATTTGATGCCGAACTTTAAACGACCAATGCAAATAATTTCCGGAGCAAAGCTGAGGTTCTTAAGTCCAGACAATAGGCAAAAAAAAAAATTCCAAGTGGGTTCCGGGTGTAAGATAAGTAAAATTTTCAAATTGATCAGAATCATATCATTATTGTCACTTAGTATATGACACTAGCTCTTAAGACCTGGTCGGTGACCGGGTTTGAGTTCCTAATTTTTTTGCTAATTCTTAGGTCTTAACATTATTAACTCTTAGGCCTCAATGTTATTAGTTTATAAGACCCGGTTGGTGACCGAGTTCGAGTTCCTAATTTTTTGCTAATTCTTAGGCCTCAATGTTATTAACTCTTAGGCTTCTATATTATTAGTTTATA